TGATTCCCTAGCACTGAGTCAGGGCAGTTAAAGTGGACTCAATTTGCTGTATTTCTGGCAGTCTGCAAAGGCCCTATGTAGCTGATGTTACTACTTAGTTGCTACTAAGCAGCTATGCTGGATTGTTAAAACAATTTTAAAAACATTCATTTAAAAAAGAAAAGCCATTCAAAAACAGTGGTTTAAAACAACAACTGGTGTTCCTAGTACTGACTGCACAATGGGACATTAAAAAAATTCTGCATTTTTGTGTATCTAGCTTGGAGAGAAGTTGTGAAAATCTAGCCACACATGCAAATGAAGCTTTTGCTTTCACTCTTCTGTTTGGCATTTTCTTCTTTTGTTTGGTTTTCTTGGAGAGAAGTTGTGAAAAGTGCTATGACATATTGTGCTTTGATTTTGAGTTCCTGCATGGCAGAGGGTTGGACTGGATGGCCCTTGTGGTCTCTTCCAACTCTTTGATTCTATGATTTAGCTTCCAATTCTACTTCTCAAAAGGTTAAAACAGGGGTGACTTATGCACCTGTCTTCAAAGAGAGAGAAGATGCAACATGTACATTTGTTGCAAACAGTAAAAAATACAACCCCCCCCCAAAAAAAACCATGCAGCTTTTTCTCCCACAAAAATAAATAAGACCTTTTGAAGACTAATATTCTAGATAAAGCATTTGAAGCTTTTAACAGCCCATCACTACCTTATAATGGGAACATGTGAGGTTTGTTTTTTCCACACAGGACCTTTCAAACATTTCTCCTTTGCACTGACAACCAGCTTTTAGCTAACTATTCAAACTTGGAAAATGGTCAAAGAAAATCAGGTGACTACCACTGTTTAATCCAAAGTCCTTACATAAAAGCGACCTTTGTGTCACTCTCAGTTGTTTGAACTGCACTAGCCACGAAGAGTTGAGCTATTTTTTTAAAAAAGGCAAATCTTTCTTCCAAAGAGGTGCATGAATTATGTACACAATAAGTTCACATGGTGTGAATGTGTACCTTGGGAAATAGGGAGCCAGTTTTCTGAACCAAGCAGACAGAACAGACTGCAGGTGGACAACAGCTGAGGATTGGGAGGCTGTGGTTCTCCGGCTCCCACAGCCTCTTGCCATGCTTACTGAGGATGATGGAAATTGGAGTGTAACAGCTTCTGCAATGCCATAGGTCCTCCAACCCTATATTGTAACAACTTTAAGGGTAACCCCACTTTCAGTTGAAGGGGAAAAAATCCAATGAATGCAGACATATGATGCAAGAATCAGTATGTACCTTAGCATGGCAGACAAGGTTTACTTTGAGCCAGAGCTTGTTCCCAATGTTAGGTCCAAGTGAAACAACAATAGAAAAGATGGTGTCTTGAACATCCTTCTTTTAGCACAGTAAAGGTGCAATGAGCCAGAGTGGTGTAGCAGTTTGAGCACTGGACTATTACTCTGGAGACCAGGATTCAAATCCCAGCTCAGCCATGTAAACCCACCTTAGAACACTGCTCAGGGATAGTGTATCCATGAGTAGAGAGGGTCTAGATCAGTGATCCCCAAACTCTGGTCCTCCAGGTGTCTTTGACTTCAGCTCCCCAAAGCCTTGGCCGTCTTGGGCAATGGTCTGTGATTCTGGGAGCTGAAGACCAAAGCACCTGGAAATAATGTAGTTTGACGTGGCTTTAATTGCCATGGCTCCATGCTAGGGAATCCTGGGATCTCATAAGAGAGAGAATTGCTGGACTAGATGAAATGGAGGAATTCTGTCATCTTCATAGCCTGCTGCTTGACTTCCTGTCAGATACCTGTGGGAAATAGGATATTAGCCTACACTAGGATCTAGCCACAAGCATCCCTCCAGCTGTTGTTGGACTGCAACTCCCACCATCTCTCACCATTGACTCCATAAGAACAGGCCACTGGGAGCTCTCTTCTAACATCTGGGGGTTGTAACTCAGCCCAAATGCTGTTGAATTGCAATTCCCATGATCCCTAACCAGCACAGCCAATGAAGAAGAGCTTCCAGGACCTGCAGTCCCACAGTATCTGGAAGGCCACATATTGTCCATCGGAGGAGGGGGGACACTGAGAAGACACAGCAAGGGGTGCTCTGATGCATCTGCACTGCCAAAATAATCCAGGTTGAGACTGATTTAACTGCCCGGGCTCAGTACTAGGGAATTCTGAGGCTTGTAGTTTTGTGAGACATTTACAGTTGGCCCTCCGTTTTCACGGGGGATCCATTCCGCTCCCACCCCCTGCAAAAATGGAGATTCACAAATATTCAAGCCCCATAGGCTTGAATAGGGCATGCCCCCGCAGGTACGCCCCATTGATTTAAAGAGAGGTCTCTGTGAATATGCAAAACTGTGGCCTTCAAGGCCACAAGAACGGAGAGGTGACTGTAGTCTACTCTGGTGCCACAACAAACTACGGTTCCCAGGATTCCACAGCATTGATCTATGGCAGTTAAAGTGGTATCAAAGTGAATTATTTCTGCAATGCGGATGCAGCACCTGTCCTCAACCCCCACACCTCTCTCCCTTTAGCAAGGCAGTGATTGTTACAGCCACGCCACTCCCTTTGTTTGCATCTACACTGCAGAATTAATGCAGTTTGACACCATTTTAAGTACCACAGCTCTATGTTATGGAATTCTGGGATTTGTAGTTCCATAAGACATTTAGCCTGAGAGCTGTGGTGCCCACAACAAACTGCAAATCCCATGATTCCTTAGTACGAAGCTGTGCCGCTTAAAGTGGTGTCAAACTGGATTATTTCAGCAGTGCAGATGCAAAATGGGGCACAGTGCTATGGAATCCTGAGACCTGTAGTTTTGTGAGATATTTAGCCTTCCCTGTCAGAGAGCCCTGGTGTCACACAACAAAATACAAATCTCAGGATTCCCTAAGATGGAGCCATGACAGTTAAAGCGATATCAAACTGCATTAATTCTGCAGTGTAGATGCAGTCTCTCTCTCTCTTTTTCTCCCTTGGCCTCTTTGGCTGCCTCCACCCTGCAGAAACCATCCACCTTGACCCCACTTTAACTCCCACGGCTCCACACTATGGAATCCTGGGAACTGTAGTTTACTGTGTGGAACCGCCAGAGCTCTCAGGCAAGAGAAGGCCAAACGCCTCACAAAATTATCATTACCCAGAATTCCACGGCATGGAGCCGTGGAAGTTAAAGCGGTGTCGAACTGGATCAATTCTGCAGTGTGGACGCAGCCTTTCTCTTCCTTTCCACCCACTACCCCTTGGCATCTTTTTAAAATTATTTTTGACCCTCCATTTGGGAAGGAGAGGCTCCCCACCCACAAAAAAAGAGAAAGAGGAGGGCTAGGCTGCCATCCAAGGACAGGCCGGAGGTCAACGCTTGGAACCAAAAAGGCCGCAGCAAAAAGCCTACAAAGAAGGGCCTGGCTGAGGAGAATAACAGTAACGGAAAATAACGAGCGGGGGGGGGGGTGCGCGCGCACGCGGGGGCTGGCGGGCGAGGGCGCGCTCTCGAACGTTCGCTGTGCGTTTGCTGCTGCAGCTGCTGCTGGGACTTACCTTGGCAGCCATGCTTTACCGCGCGCAGCCTTTTCCCTCCCAAGAGAGAGAGGGCAGAAAGGTAAGCAGGCAGGCCGGCGAGCGGAGTGCTAACCGACGCGCCAATCAGCGGAGAGGAAAACCCGCCGCTGCTTACTCATTGGCTGGAACCAACATTTCCTCTCTTTCTCTATGACACCTCCCCCCCTCCCCCCCCTCCGCGCGCTCGCTCTCGCTTCACTGCGCGCGCGCCCGCTTGAACAGACAGGCTCTTTCCACACAGGCTGAGGCCGGACGCGTCCTCCTTCTTCCCGGACGCGTCCTCCTATCCAGGAGAAATCCCAATTGAGCACGACTGTTAGAAGCAGGAATATTCTATTTCTGAGTGTTTTAAAGTTTTTGTTTGAGTCATGCCCTTCGTTTTTCCCTCAAAGGTGCTCCATTTTGAGCATGACTGAGAAGCAAGGAGATATTCTATTTCTATGTTTTTACTTTTTATGTCATGCCCTCCATTTTTCTTTGAAGGTCCTCCATTTTGAGCATGGCTGAGAAGCATGAAAATATTCTATTTCTCTTGATTTTTTTTTTGTTTTTTATGTCATGTCCTCCATTTTTCCTCGAAGGTCCTCCATTTTGAGCATGACTGAAAAGCATGAAGATACTCTATTTCTATGAGTGTTTTTAGTTTTTGTGTCATGTCCTCCATTTTTCCTCGAAGGTCTTCCTTCAAGAAAAATAGAGGATGTAGTCAAATAGAAACTAAAAAGACTCATAGAAATAGAATATTTTTATGTTTCTTAGTCATGCTCAGAATGGAGGACCTTCAAGGAAAATGAAGGACATGGCATAAAAACTAAAAACTCTTAGAAATAGGATACTTGTTGTGCTTCTATGAGTGTTTTTACTTTTTATGTCATGTCCTCCATTTTTCCTTGAAGGCCCTCCATTTTGAGCATGACTGAGAAATATGAAAGTATTCTATTTTCGTGTGTGTTTTTAGTTTTTATTTGGGCGCATCCTCTGTTTTTCTTGAAGGTCCTACATTTTGCGGCGCCTTGTCCTCCTTGTCGGAGAGGACCTCTGGCCATCCTGGGCAGGCAAGAAATGCTGGCATGGCCTCTCTCCAGCTGCTTTCTCACTCTCTCACCTGAATTCCCAGGATTCCCTAGCATGGAGCCATGGCAGCTAAAGCGGTGTCAAACTGCATTGTTTCTACAGTGCAGATGCAGCCTGGGGCTCAGTGCTATGGAGTCCTGGGATTTGTAGTTTTTTAGATATTTAGCCTTCTCTCTCAGAGAGCTCTGGGGCTGCAGCAAACTACAGATCCCAGGGTTTCATAGCATGGAGCCATGGCAGCTAAAACGGTGTCAAACTGCATTGTTTCTACAGTGCAGATGCACCTGGGGCTCAGTGCTATGGAGTCCTGGGATTTGTAGTTTTGTGAGTTATTTAGCCTTCCCTATGAGAGAGCTCTGGGGCCACAGCATACTGCAGATCCCAGGATTCCATAGCATTGAGCCATGGCCGTCAAAGTGGTTTCAAACTGCATTATTTCTGCAGTGCAGATGCAGCTCATATAAGCAATCTATCAAACCCCAGGTGAGAAAAATTGGCCTAAAGGAGCATCTACACTGTAGAAAGAATGCAGTTTGATACCACTTTAAGTGGTCTAACTCCATCCTAGGATTTGTAGTTTTGTGAGGCACCAGCACTCTGGCAGAGAAGGCTAAAGACCCCATAAAACTACAAATCCTGGGATTCCTTAGGATGGAGCTACAACAATTTAAAGCGGTGTCAAACTGCATTATTTCTACAGTGTAGATGGGAGCTATCAAAGGTGGGGACTACTTCAGAAGGAAGTCCCACTGCATTCAATCGTTGAAGGGATTTTTTCCCTTGACTGTAAAGAAAGTGGACATGCTAAATAAAAGTACTTTTCAACTTTGGGTAGGGAAAAACTATTTTATTTTTATTGCTCCTGGACCAGCGCAGTGTTATATTTGTGTTTCATGAGCAAAAGTCCCAGGGAATGCCAAGGGTACTGATTCATAGCTCAGCCCCGGAAACTTCTTAATGCCAACTCCAACCATGGTTGTGTAATCATCAATAACTGAGCTCAGAAGAGCTTATGAGGTGTGCTTTGCCCCAGTTCTGAATCACTGCCATATATATATATATATATATATATATATATATATATATATATAATACATATATATAATACATATATATAATATTTAATTACCAGTACGCTTTCACCCTTCCTCCAAGGAGCACAAAGCAGGTGCCAGTGTGCAAAATTCTCCTGCTTCTATCCTTCCAGCAACTATAAAGTGGATTAATTTGAGCCTTAGCCCAGATTAGGAGGGTAGATTTGAACAGAGAGCTTTCCAGTTCTAGCCTTCGCTGTTTTAGAGGACAGAGCGGGGATTAAAGTGAAAGCTGTTCCTCCAGAAGCAGTTGACAACCTGGAGCTACAAATTAAGCACTGAATGCAATTCCATTGATGAGAACCAGGATGGTGTAAGTGATTTGAATATTGCACTAGAACTCTGGGAGACCCTGGTTCAAATCTCCGCTCAGCCACAGAAGCCCACTAGATGACCTATTAATGCGGTTTGACACCCCTTTAACCTGCATGGCTCCATCCTGTGGAATCCTGGGATTTGTGGTTTCTGCGGCACTGGAGCTCTCTGGCAGAGAAGGCAAAACATTTCACAAAGCTACAAATTCCAGAGTTTAGTAGCATCGAGCCATGGCAGTTAAAGTGGTGTCAAACTGCATTAATTCTGCAGTGTACATGCAGCCAAAGACATCTGCAAGCCTCCTCTGAATAAATCTCTATTGGGTTGAATTAAATTGGAGTTGACTTGAAAACACATAACAATGACTACTTAAAGTGAATGGCTCAAAGACCTAAGAAGAAAGACCTGTTGCATTTAAGGGGC